TTGACAGTTCCCTGTCTGCATGCACTTGTAACAATTACTGTAGCACTTAATGAAAAGACGAAGGGGGGGGGGCGTATTTGAGTCCCTTGTCGCACTGTTTTAAAGGCTTCCAGATAGGCTCTTGTTTAACAAACTTTTGATAGTGAACTCAATAATTACTTGAGGCATTGTTAACAGGGTTCTTTAACCATGCCAAAGAAACTATTCAATATGTAGATGAAATTTGTCTCGACGCAACCTACCCAGACATAAAGGGTTACGAAATTTTTGGACTGCATCGATCATCGGCAAAGAAGCGAAAATTTTAAGAATTTATGCTATCATACTGCAAGAAATGAATCGATAAAACGGATGAATCGGTTTAGTGTGTTCATTAGCTGGAGTTAAACCTTGACCTAATTATGTTAATTAAACCATCGTTCCTGAAAATACATAATAAACAATACCCGAAAAGGTGTATAAAACGATTTCTCTCGCTTTGAATAAGATCTCTGAGAAAAAGATCGAACGTCAATCCTGTATAATCTGTATTGAAACGTCTTTGTTGGTGGCCTGTAATAATTTTTTGATATTTGATTCTCAGTTCAGTTACTGTCAAAGCCACGTAACCTCAAAGTATCTTCTTCATGAAACAATGTCCGCTTGGTTCATGGAATCAGAGCACCCAGTACATGATAAGTTCCATGAAACGGGCATCATCGGTAGTGCGGTAACGACGTGTAAACAGCTACCAATTTCCGTTGCGGCATTTTTCATATAGTTGGTTTCGCAAGTGGTTGCACATCCTCATTGCTTCTAATTTCCTAAAGTGAAATTAAGAGTGCAATTTCACTTCCGTGAAAGCTTTTCTTGGAGGTGTCATGACCGTGTTCGAAAATAAAGAAACAGGAACCCATATTTTGGTGTAAGGATAGGGCACAATATGTTTAAGGTAGGAAAATGAGCGAGTGAAAGGTCGTTTGAGAAATGTAAAGTGTGAGGTAAGGAGAAAGATGAGCGTTGCATTTTACGGTGCGAAGATCAATAACGATACATTACCGTGAGCCGTAGCACGTTTAAACTGACCTCATGAGCTACTAGCAGAAACGAACTGGTGCATGAGAGGGCTAAAGACCAATCATATCATAAGAAACTTCCTCAAACTGGAGTTCGTCCATTTTTTTCTGGCATATCGCTTAACGAAGGGCAGTTAGAATCGAGCCGTCAAACAAGCGGAACCCCGCAATACTAAGGCAATCGCTTCTGCTGCACATACTGAACCAAAGCACACAATCATATTGATAATTTTATGACTGAACTAAAAGTTAAATCCAGTGGAGATTCCACTCTTCAACACGCACTCGCGCTTGAACTCGATGGCAAATCTAAATTGCAAGGGGTAGCATAAATGTGAAACTCGTCAAGGGAAACAGTTGAAATTAATGATCATGTCAAAAAATGATCAAATTTACACAAGCCAAAATCGTGACATAATTTTTATAAAACTTAACTAGACAAACTTGACTGAAAACCATGGAGCTGTAGCTTGTTTTAACCAGCTTCACGGTACTTGATTCACCGTAGAGCGCTGAATGCAGGACGGCTGTCTATCATGGAGCAGTGGCATGTATAAATGTACACCCTAGGCTACTAGAAGCAATGACGAGCTGTTGCCGAGTAAAGCAGAATGAGTCTCAAAAATTGAAATGTTACGAACAACGACAGAATTAAAAACCTACTACATCGGGATTATGCCCCGTGTACACATTTGTCTACGGTTAGTGGCAAATTCAATCGGTCCCCTAACATTTACTAGTTCAGTCCAGCTCAGAGATGAAGTCCTACATCTGATGCACTGCAGGCGCCGAAACTCTATATTGCCTTGACTTGTTTAAGTTGTTCCCCTATACGATTAAAAGCAAGGAGGCGGTTGGCTTAGGCTGAGTAAATTCTGTCTGATAAATTGAAATTTAACGATCACAGTATAATTTAACAGAGTTCACGAAAATAACGCGGCTGCACTGGTGAGTAATTATAAGAATTAAATAGTGATAAAAAATATCATTATTCTGAAGACGATAGTGAAGGTGTTGCAGTGATAATAATCTAAACCGCAGACTGAATATGATGGCACTAACGATAAGAATAATGTAACGATGGTGGTGTACGTAATACTCACGATTTAACTGCTGATGGTGATAATGTCAATGATGAATATGAGTAGTAGGCGCTAGATGAAAAGCGAAAGCGAAAGTGATAACGTTATTGATATTTTTGTAAGTATCATGATTTCAAAACGGTAATAATGTTATGTTACAACTGTTTAAAGTAATGACAGGGATGTTTCTGAAGTTAATATCAATTATCATCATGACGAAA